GCAGATATTTTGCCTATGTTCTGTTTAGCCTGGTTCAACTGGAGTTTTTTATGCCTTCAGAAACAGATGAAGGAATTTTTATCAGCATGTTCAATTCTCAGCCTATCATCAGTGGATAAAAGAACAATATTTAGACTGCCCCCTACCCATCATTAGAATGAAATCTGATGAGTAGAAAACGTACAGGCAAGCTGAGAGAGAAAAAATCCAAACATATATGCATGGGAAATATTTCCTTCACCAAAAGATTTACTGAATATTTTTTAATAAAACCTATGGTCCAAAACAAATGGAACCAAATTAAAAGTGGTTTATTTGACCCAGCTCTGAAGAAGGTTCATAAGGTAGGCTTTACAGGAAATGACTAAATCCTTTTTTATCCTAAATTTTCAAAACAAAAATATTTGAAAATATTAAATACAAGGTCAGTTGTTACCAAGCAGATGAGAATTTTTTGGAAGTAACACAGTTGACCATAAGTAAGCTAAATAATCTTGAAATCAATCAAATTTAGTAAGAAAATAATATGCATAAACACCAATAAAACTAAGAATTTTAATATTCTGGAAATAAAGACATGAAATATTGCATTTTTCCAGTGAAATCTCTCAGAATTTCTATCAGACAATGAGTGACAGTACTATCTGAGGTACTGTATTAGAAAGTGATATAGGGAAAGGTGGGGAAAAGGAGGAAGTTCATGAGGGGAAGGGACAAGATCAATCTGTATAAATCAAAACAATTTATTTAAAAATTGCAAGATATACTACAAATGTTTTTCCCTCGCTATGATGAGGCCTGAAGAATATTATTAACTACATAGCAAATGAGCAGCCCATCTGGATGTAGTAGCAAAAAATATGATGTAGAGTGGAGTGTGATGCAAACTGTAGGTACTATAGAAATCTTTTTACTATTTTTTTTTTATAGGCAGATGGCAAAAAAAAATCCAGTGAAATGAACTATAAATTACTTTGCTACTAGGATAGGACTCCAACCAAGACATAAGAAGTCTGGATTCTTAATTAGATTAACATACAAAATCCTTGGACTAATAATTATTGTTTTATTTTCCATCTCTCAAAGGCAAATTACTTTCAGGAGATTTGAAGAGTATGATCATCTTAATCCATCTGTCAGTAGCTTTTTAATAATGAAGTAAGTAAATTTCAGTTATTTCACTAACTAGGTAGGAACTGGAAGGAAACAGAAGTAGAAAAAACAAATTATTCAAATTGAAAACGTATACTGCTTTTTGTAAAAAAACATTAATTATTTGTTATTACTACATAAACTTTGAAAGGACTATATGTAAGGTGTATATTCTTGAAGTCTGAGGTTTGGAAATCTGCATTCTTACTGGTTAACATTACTTTGAAAATTAAAAAATCCCCAAACACTATACTACTCAGATAGCTGTCAATTTCAAAAATAGTCCAAAATTTTGAATAATAGCATTCATAAGCCTCATGAAAATTAATTCAAATTTCATCAATTAAGAAGTCTTGTAAGCTTAAATAAAAGAAATGGTCCCTTCATTCACTGTAAAGACAGAGTGAGTGAAGACCTGAAGCGTCAGAATTATATAGGTCAATGTGACCATCCTGATTGCTGTATTCCTACTTTTGAAAAAAAAAACTCATAAGGGTAACTCCAAACCTTTCAGGTCTACTTGTGCAGAGAAACCTCTTTTGGAAAGCTGTCCCAGAATTCCACATATTTATATAACAACTTTTAACTTAATTGAATAACAATATTTTCCTTTTAATTTATATTTACAGGTATTATTATTTAAACCTTTCCTGCAGTTTGGAAAGAGGCAATAATAAGAACTACTGTAAAGCCACATAAAATGATTCTGAGACCTCAAAGAAAGGGAAAGTTGGGTGTATTTGAATATATGATCACTGGTACTTGAATTTTCTCCAATTTCCTTCTTACTATATGAAGAAACATCATATATGAATGGAAAAATATATAGTAGACAATATTGTCAACAACTTTGTTTTGACAAACTCTGCTTTCTTCATTGAACTATGCTTTGGCAGCTGCTGCCCCACTGGGTGGCCCCTATGCTATACTTTTAATAGTTTTTATGCTTTCAAATACAATTTCTTTTAAGCAATATTTTATCTAATTTATATGACCAGACAAAGCAGAAGCTGCAAAGATAATATTTTTTAACTTCCTTTCTGATGAATAATAAATGTCACATAGGAATTACAAAGTAGGATGTAGTTGCATGTGCCATCTGCTGTGTATGGGAACAGAAGAAAGATATTAGACTTTAAATTAGGGGTTTCTTTCCTAGAAACTCAAAGATGAAAGGAAACCACACTGATCACTTGGAAAATAATACTACTCTCTATCAGTCATTAGAAATCTACCAGTGCTTAGAAAATCTCACAGTATGACAAGATACTCTGGAGAGCTCTCTAAGGAATATCTACAAAGTGTATTTTAAATAAAAATTAATGTCATACAGTCTTCTGATTATTTACTTTAATTTTTTTCCTGTTTCTTCTAGTTGCCTAAGGCCTGTGATAGCAGGATATGTAGAGAGAGTTCAGAGGTAAAATAGAAAAACTTACATGCTGAATTCCCATAGTACCTGACTGTTTGCAAAAGTAAAGAGAGCTACATAATTACATATTTACATTTTAAAAAATTAACTTACCTTAAAAAGAAAAAACCAAAACTACCCACATGTTGTCTCTGAAGTGGAAACTGTTAGTGTGCCCATTCCAGCTGCCCACTTGGCCTCAGCCGTCACTAAAGACCCAAATGCTGACCTAACCATAAGCAACATGGATTATGTTTGTCTGCAAGGTGGCACAGCCCTGAGACATGACTAGGGAGGAGGTGGCTGTCAGGGGTGGTGTCCTCCAGGATGTGTGCAGCTGGGATGATGGAGGTATTTCTGACTATTTTTTATTTTACATCAATAAAATAAATACCAGATTACGTTTTATTCTCCTTTTTAATTTGTGGTTTGACTGTTATGCACAGATTTTTTGTTTAAACAATTGTCATATTTTTAAATTTAATGTCCAATGTTAGCATTTCTTGTACATATAAGAAAAATAGGAGTGTAATGAATGGAAAGACAAGAGCGCGATTGTTTTGAAAAAGTGGTAGAAACCAGCTTCAGAACAGTTGGTTATACACACACACACAAGAAAAGTTTCTAGGGAAAACTTTTCATACTAGACAGTATTTTAGTATTTACTATTATACGTGCTATTATAGGGCCTTGAAAGTGCCAACCTGGGATCAAAGTATCTTTTTTGTAGAGCTTTAATTAAAGTTTCTTATAAAATATGGGAAATCATTTTTGCTTAAATCAGAAAAAAATAGTCAAAATAAAGAAATTATGAAATGAAATTATCAATTGCTTATACACAGTATTTATTGTGAGCTGGTACCATCATAAAACCCAACACAGATAATATTTTACATGAAGTCTTGCGAACAGAGGAGAAAATGTAGAAATATGACACTATCCCTGAAAACACTGTCAATGCTCTAAATTTGAACTTTTAACTTTCCTCTGTTTTTTTTTTTTTTTTTCCTTTTTTTAATCCAAATGTCTGTGATTTTTTTTGGCTCAAACACAGATGACCTGGGACAGCTTTAGTCTGTGAGATAACTGCAGGGAACTCATGTTCTGACTTTCACTTCTGTCCACAGTCCCCTCTGAGGTGAAACCTGTGTATGGTTCTGGGGGGAATGATTTCTCAAACAAAAAGACCCTAGGTTTTAAGGCTGCAAGGGTATCACAAACAGTTCACAAGAGACCTGGACTGCTATGACACATGGAAATAACCTGCTGGCTTTAGAGTGACTCCAAAGCCTGGAAAGCAGACTCTTGAGCCACTCTGTTCCCTTGCCTATGGAGCAAGGGGCCACATCCTGAGGAAGTTGTTAAAGCTATCAGTGTAGCTTTAATAGAAATCTAGTAGTATTCCCCCTTCTATTGACATCTGCTAGCACAAAATGGACCAAAGCAGAATTTATTAGAGATTAAATACCTGTGTTTGAAGTAAAATTTCATCTTGTGACATTTATCAGCTTCTTTATGCTAATTAGAATGTTGTGAAATATTAAAAGAACATCAACCTCTGCTCCTTTTACAGTTTTCCAGTAAATATTGACTTACAGTCTGTCAATACTGAGTGTAAGCAAATAAAAAAATTGCCTGAAGCTTCAGGAGGAATATCCTGGTTGAGAAGTCACCTCCCAGTTTCTCCATCAGCGGGAAGCCAGACTATGCTGGAAACAGGGCTGTGAGAATCACAAGAAACTGCTGCTGGAGCCTCTGAGCATCTACACAACACAAGAAATACCTCAAGCATCAAACCTTTCTCTTTTTCAGCTTGCTTTTCCCAGCATAATCACAGAAAATAAAATTGGAAGGTTTACATTGTCTCCTCCTGCAGGGAGGATGAGAGAGTCTGACGTGCATGGACTGGGAGTATAGAGATCATGTACCCAAGACCTGGAAGGGAGCAGCTCTCTGAGCAGCTGGCAACAAGGCCAGTGCCTCTCACCAGTGTCTAGAATAGGTAGGATGAGACAAATGCTGTCTGAAGGACATGCCTTTACAATGAATTTCTTAGGTTTACACATGACAAAAGCTATTCCAAGAGCCTGAGAGGAAAAAAAGTGATTTGAGAGATGGAAGTCTGACAGAATTATACTCATGTATTATGTGCAGATCTATAAAAAATGTTTGGAAATTCACACATAATTGATCACTGCTCGTATTTTCTGAAGCTGTAGCAGTCTTAGAATCTTAGTCATATCATTTCATGTAATTAATTTGGCTAGCTGGCAAGCCAGCCCCCAGTCTTTTGTTTATTGTCAGCTATTCTTTAGCAAATAAGATCTAAAGAAATAGGACAATAGCATGGCTCATTTTTAGGTTGATTTTTTTCCCCCAGAAACAAGGTATAAGAAACATGAATAGGCGAAGAACTGAAACACTCATCTCTGTAGTGCTGTATTTGTACATATTTTAATAGAAAAAACAATGATTTGTCTCTCAGCATGCCATCCTCATGTTCTGTTGCTGTTCACTGCACACACATTCCTCAGAATATCTTGAGTTCATCAGATGTGAGTTTGGCTACACGGGGAGAGAAAAAAGTTGTATTGAAATACATCATGTGCAGCAGGCTTCACACATAGTTTTCACAAAGTCTCCAGCTTCTGCTGACATGGCTCTGATTTTGACATGATAGGTCAGTCTAGTTCAAAAGCTGGAACTCATTATAGCAATCCTTTACAGTAAATATGTGGGAAAAATTAACTATAATGGAATACAAATATTTTTGAGCAACTGTTAAATGCTGGGGTTGGGCCAAATGGACAGTTGGCCTGGGGCACCAGATTTTTCATAGGCACACGTATTGTTAATGAGCACTTAGTCCATCTATCTGTTACCTTCAATCACTCATGGGTGCCTTCATTCTGCCTCCAGGACGTCTGAGCCGAGATGTCTCGCCCCAGCCTGGCAGCAGGAAGCCTTGATGTAGCCTCGAAGATGAGAGGAGGCAGCTGCAGAAGAATGAATGCATGAAACTGGAGAGTGATGCAGACAGAAGAGGAATAGGCATGTAACCATCTTGTGGGTTTCTGTTGTTTTGTCTTGGTCAAATAACAGTCTGCCCTCTGTATGTGGGAGGATGTGGTCCCAAAAGGCTGCTTTGGATGTAAAAGGACAAGGTGGCAGAAGGGTTTGTTCACAATGCATATTGAAAACTCTTGTTATTTTCTTTCTTCCTCCTGCTGTTCATCTACTTCTAGGCTTTTGCATCATGGCTCCCCTCAAAATTACTTGCAATTTCTGTCTTCTTTTAAAACATTTAAAAAACTTTATTTACTTTTATTAGTGCTCTCAGTTGAAGTGACATAGTTTGCACAGATGTCAGTTGTCAAAAACTAAATAAATTGTATTTGATGATGTACTCAGTTTTCTGATAACAAGCAATGTTTTTCAGTGAAAACTGAAGACAAAATATAAACAACAACTCTGGGCCTTGCCTAGGTAGGACAACTTCTTACACATTTTGATATTGTGCCCCTTACAGCAACATTCTATATGGAAAAGACTGGCAAACATTAAACCAAGCTCTTAATAAACCAGCAAGAACACAGCCAATTTAGAAGCACACAGTATCATACAAGTGACCCATTCTGACCTTCTACAACTTTGTTTTCAATTGAAACAATCACCAGTTCAAGCACTCAATCGAGTGCCTCCCCATTCAGTTAGGCATTTCCTCAGGGGAAGAAAACACCCAAACCACAACAAAAACTCCCATTAAAAACTGCACACATGTTCCTATATTTTAACTACCCATTACTACCTAATAACTACTTTATTATTATTCAGTCAAACTTTAAACACACAACCATGTGCAAAGAATCTGCAAGAGGCAACTTGAGAATTCAGGTGTTTGCCCGGATCCCCAAGAATAATTGTATAGGTGAAAAACTGAGAGGACACTGAGTTCCAAATAAAACCTGTGTGCACTGTATGGCATATGACAAGTAATTATTTGACTATTTTTTTTAAGGATGAAAAAAGGATTATTTTGCAATGCACAGTAATGACCAAATAATCACCGGCAGTGATTATCCTGTTTTTGTTCTCATATAGGAATAGTTTCCTCAATCAACTTCTTTCACACAAATAAAGAGCTCAATAAAGAAACTCTAATGGTCAATTTTAAACACTGATCATTTTGATCCAGTACAGATTTCCGATTTGGGTTCAAAGGAAATATCAAGTTTTTCAATTATTTAGTTAGAGTGGTACAAAAATGCATTTTAGATAAAAAATCCCAGAAGGAATGCAGGGAACCTCAAATTTTAGAAAAAGAAGCAACTCCCTAGGATTCGCTAGCATTGTCATAGATAAATACATTGTGAAGCAGTGTTTTTAATCTGGGCTGCATATTTGGCATGTGTGTCTCATTTGCAACATGTACTAGGATGCTGGAAATTACCTGAGGATGTGAATTTCAATTACAATTGTATAAGACTTAGTAATCTCATATATCTCAAGATTTAGTACCTTGTACACTTGTCTAGAGGAAATGATGCTCAGATATAGGATAAAGTTTAAAGAGCAACAGTTGTGATGCAACAAAAGATGTGTGATTCTCCTCCCTCAATCTCTCTAGTTTCCACATTTTCTCTCTGGAAATTGTTTGAGGTTTCTTTGACACAAAAAAAATATCTTGCTATGTCTATCACTTTCTGCTAAAAATATCTTCATGGAGTAAAAGAAGCAAAATTAGATAATAAATTAAATTTATTATGATGTCTTTACCAAGGGAAATGACCCTACAGAAGGCTGTTGGCACGTTATCACAGGCTCTTTTGGTTATGGTCTGTTGAATATTTGTCCTGATTTCTCTCACATAAAAGCTAAGACTTCTGCCACAAGTCTCTGGGCACTGAAATTCTTAAATGTCCTACTTGTATTGCCTTGCCACAATTCACTATTTTATTCTGCTTTCTCCATACAATATGAGCTTTCTATCTTTCTATCCACATCAGCCATATTTATTGGATACTTTTTGACAAAGCATCCATTTTTATCTCTCCCTCCTTCCTTCCTTTGTTTACTAAGTTAGGCCATGAAGCCCAGTAAAGGTGTGAACACAAAATTGCTTTCATTTGCTGGCTCCCAATTAAGCCTGCAGCTGCTGCACTTGAGAATAATAGTTATCCAGGAAGGCTCTGATAAAGGGAAATCAGGGAGAGAGGTAGGCAGAAGGATCCTTACTGCAGCAGTCCTCATGGATGACCTGTTTTAAGGAGTCATTGGGAGCTGGCATTGATCTATTGTGGAATAGAAAGCTGACTGGCTAATGAAGGCATTAGTGGCAGAACATGCAAGACAAAGGTTTGGTCTTCAGTGTTTTGACACAAGGTGCAGGAGCAATGAACCTTGTGTTTCAGCTACACCTTTTGAGAGCTGTATTTTATTTTCCTAGATGTATTGAGTAAAGTGAGGAAATAGATGAATGACAAACCAAAAGTAATACCATTTTGAAGGAATATTTGTGTGAATACAATGCAGTAAAAATTGAATTAGCTGTGAGTCCCTGCTGAGTTGTATGAAATAGCTGTTAAAGCTAATTCTCATTGTAACACATAATGGTATTATCGATTTACTGGATACATGGCTAATGAGTGTAATTTTTCAGACTCCTTGAATACAGTAAATCCTGTTTACTCTTTTAGTGCAAACCTGCCTGCTGCCTGTAACCCAGCTTCTCTTTTATTGTATCTTCATTGTTCATTCAAATAGGCCTACTCACATTCCTTCACTGCTAGGACTTGATAACATATTCTGTGGGAGCACCTGCGTGACCTTTTTATTACATCTCTGTTATCCTTTGTGACAGTCCAGTGGGAAATTCAGGAGAAACTAACAGCTGAATGGCAGGGGAGAATTAACCCCTTCAGGGACTGTACTTCACGGAAGCATTATGACACTACATCATGATAGCATGAAGAATGGGTCAGGGTCAACTAGAAAGGTCATTATGAGGCTTTAAAGCCCTGAAACTGTAAGGAAAGAGCTTTGACAGAGTGGGAGAAGTTCAACAGTAAAGCACAAAAAGGAATCAAGGACACTTTAAAATTTTTGGCACAAAATAAGACTCAAAGGCAAAGCGGCTTTGGATTTTGAAAGGGCATTGCCTGCCTTGTGGCCATTCTCATGGTGAGCAAGGAGTAGAGATTTTTCCTGACACAAAGATTTTTCCTTTACCCTGATTGAGGGTAAATTGAATTTTGACCATATTTTTGCTTTCATTCCCAAGGATTTTAGACTCTTTGTAATTAGGAGGGGCATTATTAGTGAATTCCAAATTCCTTTTTAGACTATATATTTCCTTGTGATTCAACTACCATCCTACCATTTCCCAGGTCAAATATGTTTCAAAACCAATAAAACAGATATTCACTGTGTATTTATTCATATCTTTATGGTACCAGTATATGGCTATCCTCTCCCATATACAAAAAAAACCCGATAATCAAAAATTGTCTTAAATTTTACATGACTTTTACAAATGTCAGGTGTCTTTCTTCCTATATGATTTTTGTGAACTTTGTAGGAGTTTGTTGGAATCTGCCATGAGCTCTGGGCAGGAGAGATCATGGGATCTCCTTTTCATTTTTTTTCCAGGTTTATTTTGCAAAGGGATAAAGAATGTTAGAAACTAGAGTTCTTAGAATTTTCTATTTGTATCCAAAGGCATGACAATGTTTTATGTTTGAATAAACCTGTTTTATTCCAAATGTCTGCTTTTGATCTGGCCATTGCCTCTCACTGCCCTTCCTCAATGGTGGTGTCCTTCACCACAGTGCCCACACATCATATCTTGACATTTTTAATTCTACAAAATACTCAAGAAACAAAGAAAATTAAAATACTCAGGACGCTTTACATACTTTCTTTCATCTGCTCCAAAACATTTCTAATGGTTAAAGGTTCAGATGCCCTCTGTCTCTTCAGCAATCACAACTCAGACTGAATGCCTGTTTTCCTTTATTCAAATATGCTTTGGTCCTTAAATACAAAATTAAAATAATAGAAAATAAGCACAGTTTTAAAATCCTATTTCTGCTACCCATGACTTATCCTTTAAAAAATTAATAAAATGTGTTTGGTATCAATAGAGAATTTTATAGAATAAACTAAAAATTATTTTTAAAATAGAATCTATTTCAGCACTTTAAAAATCCCTACTTAAATATTCCATTAAATTTTCTTGCATGCACCCTGTCCTCCCTTTTCCAGTTAGGTCATAGTATCAGTTTTAATTACCTTTCATGAGCATGTGAATACATTTTTAGCTGATGTCATTTTAAATTCCATGCATATTTTCTATCATATATACAATTACAGAGGAAATATGACAAGTTCTGTATTCCAACTTATCTAAAATCCAAAGGTCATATATCTTATTTTTTGAAAGGCTTTTTCATTCTGAACTTCTGCAATGACATCCAAACCCCATTTCTATATTAGTGCATGATAATCACCAGTCAGAATAGTAATGGTAATAGAAAAACATATTTATCTACTGTATGAAGTACCTTATTCTTGGAAAAGTACTATGAAGATGTAAGGTTCACTTTGCATGAAAATCCCTAGAATTTCCATTCAGATATTGTGAGCACATGGATTCAACCATTTCCTTTCTCTTACCAAAGTTGCACAGTAAGGAGACTATTTCTTTTTCCCTACTTTGAGAAGTTGGTGTAACAAGATAACAGTAAAACACAGTGTCCAAGTACAAATCTCCTAACAGAAGATACTGAATGCTCCATCAATCAGTAAGGGGGTTTAACTGTCAGAGAGGTCCCTCTGTGGACCTTTTGTTCTGCTTGGATTTTATTTCTGTCCATATTCCTCTCATCTACCACATTCCTACAGGCAACGACTCTTACAAATTTATCATCGAATAAAGCAACCATGAAGCTCTCTTCCAAGGGTATTAGTCAACTGAAATAAAAAATGAACTTCTGATCTGTTTAAGCCAAACCCTTCTTCTGGGGTTGTGAATATAAATTTTATATACATACCACTACTGCAATAAACTGTCAACTTTGACTCCAGTCAAAAGTGCATTAATAGATCTAGACTTACAATGTGTTTTTCCCTTAAAAGCTATTCACACCCTGGGCTTGCTTTGACACTAATTAAAGATTACAAAAAGTGTTTGATATCTACTTCTGTTTGTCCAGATCATTAAAAGTATTAATAACAATATAAATAAAAAACTAGAAAAATAATGAAGTTCTTCATCAATTGTGGCCCTCCATGAGAGTACTTACAGTTATCTATGCAGATTAGAAGGTAATAATGACTTACAGGGTTTTTTGCTTACTTATGTCTTAATTTTCTGATTGGGTATAAGCAATAAGTATAAGCTAGGTATAAGCAATACTTTTCTAGTTAAAATGCTAAGCACAAAAGTATCAATTAATTTCAATACATTTATCTGCTTTTAAATGAATCTGTTTTTCTTTCTTTTTTTTTTTTTTTCTCCTTAGCTTTTCCATGAGAGACCAGGGTGGGGGGAAATAAAAGAAAAAAAAAAGAAAACCAACTATCTCATTAGAAAATTGAAGTCATTAAAGAGAAACAAGTTCTACTTCTCAGGAATGTTTTCCATTTCATAGAATATAGACAGATTGTGCATGTGTCCTGTCTTCAAGGAAGAGTAAGAAGTAGGAACACCACCCCTAACCTGCCCTCAAATCTGCCTTGCCCTGTGCTCAGGTGACAGCCCCTGGAGGCACAGGCTCTCGTGCCCTGAGCAGTGGGGTGGGCAGGTGAGTGACACCACTGTGAGAGGTGATGGAGAACATTCCCTGAGGAGCTGGTGCTCCCTTCTTGTGCATGTTTGTGCTGTGCAGGGCAGGAGGGCCCCCACTGCCTCCTCCACCGTGCTCCAGAGCACATCCAGAACCTGTGGCTGAGCTTGGGCTGGCACCCAGGTGTGTTTGGTATAGGACAAGTCTAGAGTCAAGTGTATGACTTTGGTTAGAATATTGGGTTTTATTTTTTATCTATATATAAACCTACATAACCCCACTTTCTAAGACACTTTTACCTTGATCATCATAAGGGTATTCAAACATTAAAAATGCAAGTATCCAAAAATGTTTCACACTGGTTTGACCATTCCATAACAAAATTCATTCACATTAGAAGTCATACATATCTCTGAAACCACCAAATAATTTGTCCAATATTTTTAGAGAGAAAAAAGAAACACTTTGGAAATAATATTAATTTTAATTCTTCCAATCATGAGAACTACAGCTTGCTCTGTAGTTATAATTTACCAGACAAAAAACCAGAGGGTAATTTTTCTGTGATGTTTCCCTGATAAAAATGAGCAGTGAAGTCAGAAAATACACCAATTTATGTTTTATTAAAAAGCTGAAACACATAGTTTCAGCTATGAAACCAGCTAGGAATCATCTCCTTGATGGAATTGCTCAGTGTAAATAAAATAGCATATCTACAATCACTGCCTAAGAAACAAGAAAACTTAGTACCAACAAGAATTATTTTTGATTCATTTTTTAAATCACTAGAATAACTAAAAATAACTTAAAAAACTCCAACCCAAAACCTAACATAATTCAAAAAACAGAGACTGCTTTTGCTAAAACTTTGCTCATTTGATAGGAAAATTTATAGAAAAAAACCCCCCATTGATAGGAGGGGAAAAAGAACAACAAAAATATGTTCATACAGATGAAAAGAAGAGAATAGAATGGATACTGATTTATAGGTAATTAAGTAAAGTAGTTTAAGCACAATAAGAGCAAGACAAATTTTAAATTGAAAGAACTATTTATGGATGGAAAGGGGACATTTTATCAGATACAGAGAAGCAGAAGAATGGAAATATTTTTTTCTTACATACTTTAGAATTAGCAAGTTCAAATATGAGTATCAAATGAAGGGAGAATATCTTTTCAGCCCACCAGTCATAGGGAAGGAACAAACCCTGTTAACACAAGTAGAAAGGAAATAAGGATGTTAAATACTTTACACTGGAATCTCACTGAAGAGGTAGCTGGGAATTTCATTTCCTCCTCAAGGCGGTTCATAATTTTTAAAATAACATATATGAGAAGCAAGTTGGTTGCACTGACTTTTGTTGCAGATTTCTTTCATATTTTGAACAACATAACATGTGTTTGAAATTGGTATTTTTATTATCAAGAGCTAGTACAAAAGATTTATAATATAGCAAATTTTCACCAAATCAGATTAGTATATGAGCCGTGCTTTGTGTTGTCCAGTCATGTAAGAGATGTGGAATGTAGGAATCCTTCTCAGCTAATTGCCCAGTTCTTTCACAGGTCAATAAAGAGCAAAGGGTACCTACAGGAAAGTAATTAATCATATCATCAAACAGGTGTCTATCCTCCCACTGATAGCTATTTACAGTTTGACTGCATGTCTTTGAAAGTTAGAACATCCTGATCTATTTGGGTTAAAATAATTACTTCTGTGTTTTTGAAAGAGGATTGTTTATTACTAAAAATTATACCATTAGTGGCTGTCATAAAGAACAGAAAAATAAATGTAGAATTATTCACAATGAGTTATTAACATTTTTGTTTTTAATAAAAAACATTTATGTATAGGCAACATTTAGTTACGTATCCTAAGAGTGAAAAGTTTAAAAGCCATTCTAAATTTTCTTTCAGTAGACAATCTGAAAACAAATTAGAATTATAAAGTGCAGAGCAATTGACCTTCTTAGATATTATATACATCACTTATAAAGCTAATTGCATTTTAATTGGGTTTTAGTAAATGGACAGTTTTCCAATGAGATATTAGATTTTAAACACTTTTGGTTTTAATGAGTGTTAATTTTCCTGGTGATTTGCTTCAGCATAGAAGTATCATGACTGAGTTAATTCTGCCTGAAGCTATTCTTCATTTAAGGTCATAAATGTTGACAAGCAGTATGGATAATAATGAAAAAATATTTTAAAAAAAACAAAGCCAAACCAAAACTAGGGAAGTTCAGCTCAAAAGGAGAAACAAAAAACCTGAATAAAAATGCCCAGTATATAATGGTTCTGCAAATGTTAGGAAAGGCATTGTGAGCTGCAAATGTTCATGTATTTTGGAGTAAATTTTAGCAAGGTTTGACCTTTTTCTCTAATTATAGTCTCAACACAATACTGGATTAAAACTGAATGTTTGAAATAGACACATTCTATGATAGAAACATTCTAGAAGATATTTTTCTTTTTTTCCTCAGGTTCCCTTCCCATTGTATGACAGTCTCTTAATCATATGCAGGACACACAAATAGTTCTATTGAGATACCTTGAAAAATGATATATTTTTCTAGTGCATATAGATTTAGCATCACTATTTAGAAACATTCTTACATCTTCTATTCACTTTCTTGTGAGCTCTTCCTACCTGCAACATGGTGTCTTCATCAGCTGTTAGCTGTGCTCCATGTGTGTGCTTTACAAAATCTCCTTGAGCCCTGACCCTTCCTTCCAGGGAGGGACACCTGTTGCTTGGCCTCTGATCACGACAGCTGGAGTCAGATAAAATGGATTATTGAGTACCCTGGAATACAACCCTGACAGGCTGGCTGGTGAGGGCTTTTCATCTTGGGTTAAGCATCACTGATATTTTTTCCCAAACATTTTCTGTCAAAGTGTAGCTGCAGTATCTCTCAGGACAAAGCCCAAGTTCCTCTTTCATTCATAATTTTTATTGTTTGCCTAACTATATATGGTCTGGCTGCATGTGGCAGTCTGTTACACTGCTAGCTGCTGCCAAGTCATTTGGTTGAGGCAAAATCAGCTTTTTTAATATATTAACTTGTCTCATCCTCAGGTGTCACAATCAGGGGCTCTCAGCACCAATAGAGGTAACAGTTACTGTTCCTCTTTATTGCAGCAATTTTACATGGTTTTCCAATAGGGTCAATGTTAACCTTACAGAGTAGGGTTCAAAAATGTCTTATTATAATAAAATAAGAATTAAATAATACTATAATCAGATACGTCATACATTTTATATATGTGTACATATACATATATATGATTAGGCTTTTCTGGGCATAAGTGAGTAAAATGGAAAGAATTATAAAAGAAATTGTATACTACTGTGATGGTAATCTAAAATAATTTTCTCCCAAATTAGTATAATCTATGAATTCCATTAGCACATTGCTTATTCTTTTCTTATTAATGCAAAAAAAAATTAATAGATATAGATTAATAAAGTAATATCTGATATCTTTTCTTATTAATGCAAAAAAAAATTAATAGATTAATAAAGTAATATCTGATGGGATTTTGCAAGTGAGAACAAATATATCACAAACTGTGAGAGGCAAAATAGGGATTTGATGTAAAATAGATATTTGCCTTGTATGCTTGAGGTTAGACTTCAGTCCATAATGTTTTGATATGATCAAAATACCTCCACCAAAAATGTGGCTGGACTCAACACTTCAAACATTTTCATTCTATATGTCACAGCAATTTTGAACTCTACTGCATTTTAGGGTATTCAAGGAATGTTTTACATAATAAAAAAAAACCAACACATAGACATCATTTAATTCCTTATCCATCTTGCCTGGAATAGTAAATCTGAAGCTACTATTTAAAGAGGACAAAAGCACTTTTTAGGGGGTAGGGAGTTTCTATAGCCATTTCAGTTTTTATATTTATAGATCAACCCTTAATCTTTCATCTACATATATTTCTACTAAATCATATTTGGATAATTAGTAATAGTTGTACTGAAAAAGTTTTAAAATAAACTTATGCCAAATAAAACATCTAGAAATTCAGAATAGCAATGATCATAGTTTGAATTACAAAGGGAAATTTTAACTAAAATGTAGAAGGGTTCAATTATTGTGCAACTATGGTGGTTATCCTACATAATGACCCAAAAGACCACTGAAAAGTGCTTGCTCATTTAAGTAACTTGTTCAACTCATATAAAAATCAAATAATCAACAGCTCCAGATGTGCAGCTAATATACAGACATATTTGTATAAAAAACTGAGCACTGGAAATGTGTCTGCAATGAAGTCCTTATGTATGCTTCTGGTAAGCAAAGACTAAATAGCTGACATTAAAGCAATGGCAAACCACCTTTTAACTTTCTGAAACTCAGCCCTAATATACTTACCTGTGTGAGGAAGCACCAGACACTTCTAATAACACTTTGACAACTAACAGAACTTAACAGGTAGTATGCACTAAGTGCTTCCAAAATCAGAAGGCACAGTGAAAGCTGAGAGGATTTAAATTTTTTTTTTGTATGATTAGTCAACTAAGATGAGATGTTTTCCTGGAGGAGGGGGAATTCTTTTCATTATTCCAGGTGGATAACTTGACTTTTTTTTTTTTTTTTTTTGTTTTAAAAAAAAAAAATGCCCCAATTTTTTTTTTTTTTTTGTATTTAAAAAAAAGAAATGGTCCCAAGCAGAGTACTCTCTTTCAGATAATTTCTGCTGGAACATATGGACTGCGGGTCAGTACAAAAAACTGCACAAAACATTAACACTACTGGAACACATGTTCCTTGAGGTATACTTGGACCCGAACATGGGACTGTACTGAGAATTCCTCAACAGAACACCTTGAATCTAGAGGTTTTTATTAAAATATCTTTGGTCTACATACAAGAACACCAACACACACTAAGCCATTGCCTCCAGGGAAGCTGCCAAAAATACGAGTATATGTCTGGGAAAGGGATCCACAGGACTTGAGACCTGAGCACTATCTCGAGGGAGAACTCAAATGGCTAGATCAGATTTATGGAGAGCCTTCAGTTGAACAGAAGTGCACTGAAATTTCCTTAGGTTTTCTTTGTGGAGAATACTTTCACTCTACCCTAGCTGAAATGAGGACAACTGCTCAGATGTTGTATGTTAGAAAATCTGTTTTTTCTAGTTATCACCTTGTATTTGTAACTCAAGTGCAATTATCTTTTGTTAATTGTAAAGCTCTTTTAGAAAAAGAAATAACATTATTTTTATTCAGCTTAATTTTTTTTCACCTCAGATTTACATGCAGATACAGGTATATGATGGTCTGCAGCAAATTAAGAGGCAGTAACTTGATTAAAAATATAACATGGTGGAAACAGCCCAGTAACCACGAAAAGTCATGGAACTTTGACTGGAAAGATTAAGAAAAGTATTTTACTTTTAAACTTTCTGTAATACCTCAGTTGTGTAAATATTTAAATTTTAAACTTATTTTATTATGGGCAGATCCTCATCTGGTATAAATCAGTGTGGCTTCTTTGAATTTCAAAGAACTATGCTGGTTTACTCCAAGTAACTCTAGTCTGTCCCTTAATGGTTTTTTTATATAATTCTTTCTGATTTCCTTTCAATTTGTTATTTTCAGCTACAAGGGAAGCTGCATTCTGCGTGTTTTTAAGCTATTTTACCCATAGACAAATCTGTGCTGTCAAAACAGGCTTTTAGAAGTTGAACAAAATCCAGAAAATCCAAGCTATGTATAGTAAAAGTTGGCACCAGTTTATCTATAAATTCTTAACCATAAGAACAGTGATAAAATCTTGTAGAGATCTGAATTTTCAGGCTATCTTGTTTAGCTCAAGGGCAGTTGCTAATGTAGGTGATCTCACACCTCAGCTGCTAAGGATATAAAGACATCACATTTATGCTTTATATTTATTTGTTATGACATTGCCCTGAAGAAAACTAACATTACTGTTAAAAGAGTAATACATATCATGCAGTGAATGATAGCTTGCTCTGTCATGACAGAAGGTACAAAATTTGTGAAAAATCTGTTATCTTCAAACTTGGCTCCTTGATCCTCTAGTGAAAAATGTGTTCCATTTGTAACAAGTGTAATTAAAACCATACTGATTAATTCAAGACATAACAAAACATTCTAAATCCTGTGAATAATTTACATAGCACTCTGTAGTCTGTTGCTTTATTCATTCTGCTTACTACTTGGAAAATTCAGCCTCATCTTCAGATGCAGAACTTAAATGGACCATGATAGATCCTGGTGAGTAAAAGCATTTTCAAAAGAGAGAGAGAAAAAATTAATGCAATTGCAACCATTCTTCATAGAATAATCTCAAAAGAGGCTGAACTTCAGGGCAGGATCCATAAGAAAGCTCTGCAGTGATACCAAAATTCTGCTTCTAGAGAAAGATGGGCTAGATTGCAATCTTCAACATGAATTACATACAGAGGAATGATCAAGTCCAGAGGAAAGTTAAATATTTTCCAATAACTACTGCATGTAGCCTTCAGACCTTCATATGCTTTTAAGAGTGCAAGATGCAGATTTTTTTTTTTTTTCTCTAAATTCACTATTCCAAAACAAACAGCTATACTAAACAAATCCTCAGAACCACAGTGATTGAGGTTATGTCAACACCACTCTGCAATTTTTCTAGGGACTACAGTTCAATTAGGAAAAATTTACCCCAGCCTGACACCTAGTTCAAAGATAAATCAAAGCTTACTTAATTTGGAAGAGAAAAACTCTCTGACAATTTATCATTCACAGGAATGAAGGGAAAACATAAAATTAATGATGTTTCAGGATCTATTTTGCATATAACTGGATAACGAAGATATTTTTAGAAAAAAAATCCCGTACAACTTCAGTGCAATCTTTCCTCTAGCTATTTGAGGCAACTGTACTAACTGCCTAGTAGATGGACATTGCCTAGGAAGTATCATTCCAAAAGCTTAAAAAAAATTAATATACTCTGCTTTGAATGCAGAAGGAAATATTATATCCCCTCCTGCAGCAATCCTTTTAAAAATGCCTTTCATGCAACCAAACATCAAGAAGGTAACTGTCAGTCCTTGGGCTAGAAGCTCTACTTATATGATCATTTTGAGTGGAAGATGCAGATAGAGATGAGTGAAGAGTAGAACTCTGTTTCCCTTGTGTTTTGGAACGTGATGAGGGACAGATGTCTTATATGGTAGAAGAGATAAAAACTCAGGTTCTGTGAAAACCAACAGAGGGTTAGAAAAAATAAGGTGTTTAGATAAAGGAGAAGGGAATGAGAGGAAGCCAAGCACAGCAATGTGTCTCTTTCTCCCCTGTTACCCCTGCAATGCACAGTATCTTTGCTGCTTTGCTGTGCAGCCTCCTTCTGTTTTTTGAAGAGTGGGTCTGACTCCCTCTGCATTCTTCTCATGCTATAAGTGTAGGGGGGCTAAGGGGTGGGGGTATTTTTTTAAGTATGGAATTCGTGCAAGGCTGACAGCAAGATTAATAGAGGGGACCATAAGGATTCCTGCTGAGCACTCTATTAAGCCAATAAGCACTGAACTAAGAAAAATTTGCACAATGGACCATAATGGCTTCTGAACAGATGTTCTGGTCTACTGTGTCCAAACCCTACTTTTGAAATAATTTCTAAAGTTGGCTCCTCCTTATAAGTAAGTTCTTCCAGTTTTCACTATATACCAAGTAAATATAGTAATTCAGCAGC